GAAAATGATTGTTATAGGAATGCAGTTAGAAGCCTGAGTAGATCTATAACCCACTATGATAACATGAACATAGATAAGTATGTTTATGGAGCAACTTGCAATGTGAACAGACTGACTGATGTTGTAGTGGCCAGGCTTAGGCTTGGTTACAAGTACTGACTGATGTTGTAGTGGCCAGGCTTAGGCTTGGTTACAAGTACTGACTGATGTTGTAGTGGCCAGGCTTAGGCTTGGTTACAAGTACTGACTGATGTTGTAGTGGCCAGGCTTAGGCTTGGTTACAAGTACTGACTGATGTTGTAGTGGCCAGGCTTAGGCTTGGTTACAAGTACTGACTGATGTTGTAGTGGCCAGGCTTAGGCTTGGTTACAAGTACTTCTGGCAGTTTGGGAGACACACAGATGATGATCAAACTAAATGTAAATTATGTGATCAGGCATATGGTCACTCTCTTGAACATTATGTGCTTAATTGTCCACTTATTGAAGAATACAGAGATAAATACTATAATAACCTATGTGACATGTCAAGATATCTTATTAATTAATTTATTTATTTATTTTTTATTTGGACATGATACATAGTTGTACAAAGAAATATAGTTATTGGGTGTACATAAGATACCAGATATACTAAGCAAATTTCCTAAATTTGCTTGTAACAGATAAGTGAACTGTAGATAAAAAAAAATATGTACACTTGTTAACCCTTTTCGGGGCCTAGTTCCTAGGCCTTTTATGTATCCATATGCTCTCGCGCTACCGTCCACAGGATGGATATGGGGTACACAATCAACTAGCCACTTCGGTGGCAAAATCTAAATCACATATGTTACTATAAATTATAATTGTACTTAAGTGTAACTACCTAAGTAAATTTACGCCTGCTTCCTTCCGAAATTCTACACAACTTGGAGCACACTTTCTTCTTCAGAAACTTGGAAGCAAGACTTAATACAACGCAAGCTGTTGCGGCCTATAAACCCCTTTAAAGAAACAAAGACCCTTTACGGCACACATAACTGCGATAAAACACCTCAGTTACTGGGAACGCTTGAAGTTCCTCAACCTGTACTTCCTAGAACGCAGGCAGGAGAGATACATGATTATATAATCATGTATCTCTCCCGCACTTGGAAAATCCTAGAGGGATCAGTACCAAACTTGCACACGAAAATCACTCCCTTTGAAAGCAAAAGACTCGGCAGACGATGCAACATTCCCCCTATGAAAAGCAGGGGTGCCACTAGCACGATAAGAGACAACACACTAAGTGTCAGGGGCCCAAGACTGTTCAACTGCCTCCCAGCATACATTAAGGGAATTACCAATAGACCCCTGGCTGTCTTCAAGAAGGCACTGGACAGGCACCTAAAGTCAGTACCTGACCAGCCGGGCTGCGGTTCATACGTCGGGTTGTGTGCGGCCAACAGTAACAGCCTGGTTGATCAGGCCCTGATCCACCATGAGGCCTGGTCACAGACCGGGCCATTGGGGCATTGACGCTCGAAACCCTCTCCAGATATACTCCAGGTATACCATCCAATCAATAATTAAGCACCTATTCACCGAGAAGTATATGTCATTCAGTGAATATGTACACTATGTAGCCACTTTATTAGGTACTCCTGTACCTAATATTGATTGGATGGTTAATGGATACAAAGTCTATCGATTACACGGGTGTCATTAAGGCTTCATGTAACCAACTCAGTCAAGAATACTTTAATCCCTAAAATAAGAGTTTAAACTCCAATATATTTACACTGAGAGACAAACACTTCGTGATTACACATTATTTAGTTAGTGTCTTCAAATTTAGCATTATCTTTTAGTATTTCTGAAATGCATAAAATAACTATGTTAACTGCTTGAGGAAAAAAATGGTCACTTTTTAATATTCATGGTAGAGGTGATGAAGAACATTCATGTTAGAGGTGATATACTATAATTCTTCTTTATTTCACAGACTGAAATAACAAAGTGTCCCTCTGGTCACCCGAAGGTGATGTACACATTATGGTAACTGGGGGATGCTGGGATCTGGTAGTTACCGAGTCCTGGAGGTTGCTGGGATCTGGTAGTTACCGAGTCCTGGGGGTTGCTGGGACCTGGTAGTTACCGAGTCCTGGGGGTTGCTGGGACCTGGTAGTTACCGAGTCCTGGAGGTTGCTGGGATCTGGTAGTTACCGAGTCCTGGAGGTTGCTGGGATCTGGTAGTTACCGAGTCCTGGGGGTTGCTGGGACCTGGTAGTTACCGAGTCCTGGGGTTGCTGGGACCTGGTAGTTACCGAGTCCTGGAGGTTGCTGGGACCTGGTAGTTACCGAGTCCTGGGGGTTGCTGGGACCTGGTAGTTACCGAGTCCTGGGGGTTGCTGGGACCTGGTGTTACCGAGTCCTGGAGGTTTGCTGGGACCTGGTAGTTACCGAGTCCTGGGGGTTGCTGGGACCTGGTAGTTACCGAGTCCTGGGGGTTGCTGGGACCTGGTAGTTACCGAGTCCTGGGGGTTGCTGGGACCTGGTAGTTACCGAGTCCTGGAGGTTGCTGGGATCTGGTAGTTACCGAGTCCTGGAGGTTGCTGGGACCTGGTAGTTACCGAGTCCTGGAGGTTGCTGGGATCTGGTAGTTACCGAGTCCTGGGGGTTGCTGGGACCTGGTAGTTACCGAGTCCTGGGGTTGCTGGGACTGGTAGTTACCGAGTCCTGGGGGTTGCTGGGACCTGGTAGTTACCGAGTCCTGGAGGTTGCTGGGACCTGGTAGTTACCGATCCTGGGGGTTGCTGGGACCTGGTAGTTACCGAATCCTGGGGGTTGCTGGGACCTGGTAGTTACCGAGTCCTGGGGGTTGCTGGGACCTGGTAGTTACCGAGTCCTGGGGGTTGCTGGGACCTGGTAGTTACCGAGTCCTGGAGGTTGCTGGGACCTGGTAGTTACCGAGTCCTGGGGGTTGCTGGGACCTGGTAGTTACCGAGTCCTGGGGGTTGCTGGGACCTGGTAGTTACCGAGTCCTGGGGGTTGCTGGGACCTGGTAGTTACCGAGTCCTGGAGGTTTTCTGGGACCTGGTAGTTACCGATCCTGGGGTTGCTGGGACCTGGTAGTTACCGAGTCCTGGGGGAATGCCTGGGATCTGGTAGTTACCGATCCTGGGGGTTGCTGGGACCTGGTAGTTACCGAGTCCTGGGGTTGCTGGGACCTGGTAGTTACCGAGTCCTGGGGTTGCTGGGACCTGGTAGTTACCGATCCTGGGGGTTGCTGGGACCTGGTAGTTACCGAGTCCTGGGGGTTGCTGGGACCTGGTAGTTACCGATCCTGGAGGTTGCTGGGACCTGGTAGTTACCGAGTCCTGGGGGTTGCTGGGACCTGGTAGTTACCGAGTCCTGGGGGATGCTGGGATCTGGTAGTTACCGAGTCCTGGGGGTTGCTGGGACCTGGTAGTTACCGAGTCCTGGGGGTTGCTGGGACCTGGTAGTTACCGAGTCCTGGGGTGCTGGGACCTGGTAGTTACCGATCCTGGAGGTTGCTGGGACCTGGTAGTTACCGAGTCCTGGGGGTTGCTGGGACCTGGTAGTTACCGAGTCCTGGGGGTTGCTGGGACCTGGTAGTTACCGAGTCCTGTGGGTTGCTGGGACCTGGTAGTTACCGAGTCCTGGAGGTTGCTGGGACCTGGTAGTTACCGAGTCCTGGGGGTTGCTGGGACCTGGTAGTTACCGAGTCCTGGGGTTGCTGGGACCTGGTAGTTACCGAGTCCTGGGGGATGCTGGGACTGGTAGTTACCGAGTCCTGGGGGTTGCTGGGACCTGGTAGTTACCGAGTCCTGGGGGTTGCTGGGATCTGGTAGTTACCGAGTCCTGGGGGTTGCTGGGACCTGGTAGTTACCGAATCTGGGAGGTTGCTGGGATCTGGTAGTTACCGAGTCCTGGGGTTGCTGGGACCTGGTAGTTACCGAGTCCTGGGGTTGCTGGACCTGGTAGTTACCGAGTCCTGTGGGTTGCTGGGACTGGTAGTTACCGAGTCCTGGAGGTTGCTGGGACCTGGTAGTTACCGATCCTGGGGGTTGCTGGGACCTGGTAGTTACCGAGTCCTGGGGGTTGCTGGGACCTGGTAGTTACCGAGTCCTGGGGGTTGCTGGGACCTGGTAGTTACCGAGTCCTGGAGGTTGCTGGGACCTGGTAGTTACCGAGTCCTGGGGGTTGCTGGGACCTGGTAGTTACCGAGTCCTGGGGGTTGCTGGGACCTGGTAGTTACCGAGTCCTGGGGGATGCTGGGATCTGGTAGTTACCGAGTCCTGGGGGTTGCTGGGACCTGGTAGTTACCGAGTCCTGGAGGTTGCTGGGACCTGTAGTTACCAAATCCTGGGGGCTGGGTGGGACCTGGTAGTTACCGAATCCTGGGGGTTGCTGGGACCTGGTAGTTACCGAATCCTGGGGGTTGCTGGGACCTGGTAGTTACCGAGTCCTGGGGGTTGCTGGGACCTGGTAGTTACCGAGTCCTGGAGGTTGCTGGGACCTGGTAGTTACCGAGTCCTGGGGGTTGCTGGGACCTGGTAGTTACCGAGTCCTGGAGGTTGCTGGGACCTGGTAGTTACCGAGTCCTGGGGGTTGCTGGGACCTGGTAGTTACCGAGTCCTGGAGGTTGCTGGGACCTGGTAGTTACCGAATCCTGGGGGCTGCTGGGATCTGGTAGTTACCGAATCCTGGGGGTTGCTGGGACCTGGTAGTTACCGAATCCTGGGGGTTGCTGGGACCTGGTAGTTACCGAGTCCTGGGGGTTGCTGGGACCTGGTAGTTACCGAGTCCTGGAGGTTGCTGGGACCTGGTAGTTACCGAATCCTGGGGGCTGCTGGGATCTGGTAGTTACCGAGTCCTGGGGGCTGCTGGGATCTGGTAGTTACCGAGTCCTGGGGGCTGCTGGGATCTGGTAGTTACCGAGTCCTGGGGGCTGCTGGGATCTGGTAGTTACCGAGTCCTGGGGGTTGCTGGGATCTGGTAGTTACCGAGTCCTGGGGGCTGCTGGGATCTGGTAGTTACCGAGTCCCGGGGGTTGCTGGGATCTGGTAGTTACCGAGTCCTGGGGGTTGCTGGGACCTGGTAGTTACCGAGTCCTGGGGGTTGCTGGGACCTGGTAGTTACCGAGTCCTGGGGGTTGCTGGGACCTGGTAGTTACCGAGTCCTGGGGGTTGCTGGGACCTGGTAGTTACCGAATCCTAGGGGTTGCTGGGACCTGGTAGTTACCGATATCTGGGGGTTGCTTGGACCTGACGAAAGCCGAAATTTGTTTTTAGATGGAACTTGATGGCTACCTGAACTCGAAGACTGCACGGGTAGAGGAAACTATGTGGACCTGGAGCCGCAGGTACCTGGAGCAGCAGGTACCTGCAACAGGAGGGACCTGGAGGATCAGGGACCTGGGAGACTAAGGGGAACGTGAAGATTTATCGCCAGAGGAAGACACAGCAGACCTTGCCCTCTGAACATTTTCCCAGGGCATCACTGGGAGCCTTGCCACACTGGTCGGTGGGCACACACTCCCCTCCTCGACTCTGGCAGTTCCTGACGTTGGTGGGAACTACGGAAGAAAATTTGACGTCAGTACCAGTGTCAGAAAAACCTCAATTAGCTGTTTTTATAGCCAGACCCTGTTCCGTTTCCCCTTCCCTCACTCCTAATGTTGTTCACTATAATACTACACCATATAGTTCAACGTTCATCGTTTAAACCCTAAGATGAACTGTATAATTAGGAAATTGCATTTTGTTAATAATCAACCATTACCCTCTCCCCCCAAAAAACTACGCTCACTCGTTGAACTGAAAATAAGTGGATAATTGAGAAAACACCTTATGTCATGGCAATTACAGAGGCAAATAATATTCCCAGAAGGTAGCAAACACTGAGACGAAAGCGGGAATATAAGTGATAGAACAACACTGATGGTGAACATCAAAATGGTATACAATACCGACAGGTTGGTAGGTAAGACACATAGGCAACAGTTAGGCAACTTTATTCCGAAACGTTTCGCCTACACAGTAGGCTTCTTCAGTTGAATACAGAAAGTAGGCAGGAACAGTAGAGGTGTGAAGACGATGTAATCAGTCCATCACCCTTGAAGTCGTAGAATTTGAGGTTGTCAGTCCCTCGGCCTGGAGGGACTGACAACCTCAAATTCTACGACTTCAAGGGTGATGGACTGATTACATCGTCTTCACATCTCTACTGTTCCTGCCTACTTTCTGTATTCGACTGAAGAAGCCTACTGTGTAGGCGAAACGTTTCGGAATAAAGTTGCCTAACTGTTGCCTATGTGTCTTACCTACCAACACTGATGGTCAAGTATCATCAGAGCTTCAGGAAGTTGCGAGACAAAACTGAAGAATTCCTTAAATACGTAGTAGAATCAATTACTACTTGGAACATTGGGTAATAATAGCAGAAATTACGACTTACCACTAAACAACAAGAGCAGAAATTACAACCTACCACTGAACAACATGGTAATAGAGACTACAAATACCACAAAACAACAAGGTTGTAGTAGCAGAAACTACAACCTACCAATACCAACAAGGTAATAGTACCAGAAACTACAATCTACCATTAAACAACAAGTGATTGAAACAGAATTTTAAAAGCGCTCAGAGGGCTATGATAAGCACCATAGAGGAGAGAACAAAAATTCAAGGCAAGGATTTAAATAATGGGCGAATACAGTCACAATAATATTAGACTGGGAAACTGGGAGCTAGAACCTCATGGAGGGTAAAAGTGGTGGCAGCGACGATAAAAACAAATGCATACTACGTAATAGGTCAAGAATACAACAATAATGAGAATTGAAGATTAGATTAGATTTTGCCACCGAAGTGGCTAGTTTATTGTGCACTCCATATCCATCCTGTGGACGGTAGCGCGAGAGCATACGGATACACAAAAGGCCTAGGAACAAGGCCCCAAAGGGTTAACAGGAATACATATGGATTTATATCTACATATCTATAGTTCACTTATCTGTTACAAGCAAATTTAGGAAATTTGCTTAGTATATCTGGTATCTTATTTTCATTAATAAGATATCTTGACATGTCACATAGGTTATTATACTGTCTGTCTCTGTATTCCTCAATAAGTGGACAATTAAGCACATAGTGTTCAAGAGAGTGACCATATGCCTGATCACATAATTTACATTTAGTTTGATCATCATCTGTGTGTCTCCCAAACTGCCAGAAGTACTTGTAACCAAGCCTAAGCCTGGCCACTACAACATCAGTCAGTCTGTTCACATTGCAAGTTGCTCCATAAACATACTTATCTACGTTCAGATGAACTAGAAGACTTGATCTGGTAGCTTTTTCTTTATGTTCTAGGGGCACTGCAGAGGCGTAGGAGGCTGTGAGGTCAGATTACTTTTCACCCTACTGGGAGTCACACTGACGCCAGGATAACCAACAAAGAACACTGATCCGTGCGTTAGTGTGAACAAAGTGTCTCACAAAACACGATAAACACTTACAGAGAAGTGTGATCAGCTTCTTTAGTGATATGGTGTGAACAATTATTGATGACCAGTGTAACAACGAGTGTTGCGATCCAACAGAGTGTAGTGCGACATTCTTCAAAGAACACTATTCTTCAACCAACACATCGGATATCCGGGCGTAATTACGGGTCAGATACATTCCAGGTAAGGTTCAAACGGATACTACTATTGATGCGCAGTTAAGTATAAGTTACGAGTTAGTCACTTATCATAAACCCCGGTGATAAGTTGACCTTTGAGTCCACGCGAGTGTCATCAGCCATCAGTGTCTGATATATGCTGACATAACACCCCATAGGGGTAATTTATAATCATACCTAATATACTTTATTACAGCCCGTTGTGAAGTGGATGAGAGAGCTTCTTAAGACCTCGTCTGCAGGGGCAGCTGTGTGGACGATAGCTGTCTTATCAGCTAAGTACTCCCTATATTTAATCTTTAATCTTAGCTGGTAAACCATTTCTCAACATAGAAGACTTGATCTGGTAGACACACGAAATGAATGATTCTCACTAAGTTCCACTGACTATAATTCTGAGCATTTGACTACCGCTGCAGTGAAAGTTGGAGGTGTTGAAACACGCAGAGGACGCAGTCAGAGTAAACTAGAGTAATGGGAAGTACAAAAGGAAAGCCAGGACGTAAATACTCAACCTGAAGCATAACAACAGAATGAACAACGAAGGAAAACGGGTGTGAATTCGCTCACCTTTACACAGAAACTGTTGTTCCAACATTTCCTGTGTTGAACGGCAGGTATAGACTTCCTTATCAGCACAACGGACGGAATATAAGTGCAACCTCGCCTGTAACGAATGTAACGGAAGAAGCAGAGAGAAAGAAACTTACAGATCTTGCAGCATTCAGCTCCTCGCGTGCTGAGGGGGCAGAGACCAGGGGATGACGCTCGGTGGTGGGAACGCTCCAGCAATCCAAGACACACCCTCCCGTGAGACCGGCCCTCAGATACGAACTGTGGGCGTATGAGTGGTCGATAGTGGGTCTCATGGTGGAATATTACAGGTGGGAAGGAAAAACAAGAAATAAGAGAAAGGAAAAAGTGTAATGAAAAGAAACTGTTTGGTAATAGAGTTGTGGATGAGTTGAACAAATCCAAGTACCGTTATAGAGGCCAGAACGTAGTGTAGCTTTAAAAATGAGATTGGATAAATTACATGAGTAGATGTGGCTGTGGAGTGTGGAGTTAGACCTGATAGCTTGTGCTAACGGTCGTTGCCGTGGTTCCTCCTTAAGTCAATGTGACCTGACTGACAGGTTGGTCAGTGGCAGTTAAGCCGGTAGGAGACTTGGACCTGCCTGCATGGGCCATAGGCTTCTGCAGTGTCTCTTCGTTTCTTATGTTCTTATGTACTATATGTTATTAAACATGGACTGAGTATACTGTGTACAGTGGTGAGTATATATTTACGGTGCACTGTGCTCATTAACACAGGGGGTCAGCACATTAACAAAGAGTCGTGCTGACATTAAGGACTATGAAAAACCGCCAAAGTAAAGATGTGTGAAGCAGGAGTAAGATAGTATGGAAAGAGTGCAGAAATGTTTTGGAGAGCATGAAGACAAATGCATGGGATGTACCGTTGATTCATATTTTATCAAGTCATTTTAAGGTCACAGTAATATGCTCTTGTGCTTCAGGAAAATATGGGGAAGTAGGGGAGAAGAGGTGCGATTTCTCGTGGATGGTGGTCGCCTGAACCGACTGTTCTCACTGAAGTAACGGAAACCATAGGTCAGGTCCCTCGAGAGTAAGGTAAGTAAGGCAAGTACCGTAATTCTCAGGATAAGGTGGGAGTGAGGAAGTGGGGAGAGGCGAAGAATAGCACCAGAGAGTGTTCTCAGTGGTAGAAACAGTGCCAGGGAATTAACGATTCTCAGTTGGAAGAAAGAAAATAGTAAATATTCCTGAGACATCAACAATGACAGAAACAAAGTGCGAAGGGATCTGAAGTTACTGTACGTTACTAAGGTGTGAAGAGGAAAGGGAATCTCACATGTAAAGAAAGAAGAGATAGAAGTCTTAAGAAAGTGTGATGGAAGTGAGTGTATGAAACTGTGAGGAAGGGTAAGGGAAGTGTGTGAACACAGTGAGGAAGTGTGAGGATAATAAGTGTGTGGAATACAAAGTGTGGAACACATTCAAGTAAGTAGTAGTTCCATATAATTGATCACAGGAAACTAACTCCAACTGATTGTTCGATGGAGCATAAGAATTGGATCTGAGCTGAACGCTTATATTGGTGAGTACGTACTGTGCTGGTGTACTACAAGGGTACAGTGGCAGGTTATACATACAGTTGTAGTGTACTGCAGAGGTGCAGTGGTGAACTATTACTAACCGTCTTACCATCCGAAGATTTCATGTCAACAGACGCATTCATACTCACCACTTGTTCTGCAAAAAATACATATACTTATTAGAATATATACGCACGTGTACATATTATTATTACAATGAGAGCTGATCGCTAATCTTACAAGGGGGGTCATTCAGTATGTGTGTGTGTGTGTGTGTGTGTACTCACCTAAACTGTGGTTACAGGGGTCAATTCATAGCTCCTGGCCCTGCCTCTCCACTGGTCACTATTAGGTCCACCCTTTCTCTGCTCCATGGGCATTATTCATTTATTTTATTTATTTTTTATTTATTTTACGTCTTTGCAAACAGTACATTGAGATTTTATATTTACAATAGTGGGTTGTAATGTAAAGAGAGCCTCTATTATGCCTAGGCATTATGGGCCAACTTAACATTATTGACTTACAGACAACTTAACACTAAGGATTTTATCTTAGTTGTACAGTAGGACAGTAATTATTTCATAGCTGAACAGTAGATTATAAATTATAAGTGAATTAAATTTGTATAAGACAAAGGATATATTCATATAGTCTAAAATGCTTTTTGTGAAAACAATGGTTCAATTATATTCCTGTCAACAATGGATAGAAGGTTCAAAGTGATTGCTAAAGTTATGATGTAGGAGTACATAGGTGAGTATGT